AGTTCATGCTGTCACTGGGTGAAGGGTATCTGGGCTATTTCTGATTCGAGGGCTTTTATGAATAAAGCTGTTATGAACATTCTTGCCCAAGATTTCTGAAGATGTAATTTCAATTTTCCTGGATAAATATCATACAAGGAGTGGAATTTCCACCGGGAAATTTCTTGCCATAGAACAGGTGTAGGTTTGCCTGTTTGAGAAACTGACAAAACTATTGTTCAAATGGCTTATAATTTTCTTTTCTCACTAGAAATTTAGGAGAATGTCTCACCAGCACTTGATACTGTCAATTTTGTAAATTATAGTCATTGTAGTTGGTATAAAATGATTCCTCTTTGCGGTTTTAATTTGCATTTCCTTGAAGACTACTGATACGGCTTATTGATAATTCTTATGTCTTCTTTTGTGAAATGATTTTTCAAGATCTTTGAACATTTTAAAAATTGGGTTGTCCTTTTACTATGAGTTCTTTATATGTTCTTTAATGTTTCTGGATACAATCAACTCCTTTGTCATAAACATATACTGCAAATATTTTCTCCCACTCTATGATATGACTATTCATTTTAATAACAATGTACTTTGACAATCAGAAGTTTTTAGTTTTGATGAAGTCCAATCATTATGGACTGCATGTTTATGCCCCCCTGCCACATTTGTATGCTGAAACTCTAACTTCCAGTGTGATGTTATTTGTAGGCAGGGTCTTTGGGAGATAATTAGGTCGTGATGATAAAGCACTTATGGTGGAATTAGTACCCAGATAAGAGACCAGAGAAAGCTTATCTCTATCTCTGTTTCGGTCTTCATCTTCTTCCCGCCCTCCCTCTCCCCTTCTCCACGTGTGAAGAAGTGAGAAGGCAGCTGTCTATAGGCTGTCTAACCAGACACCAGATCCACTAGAGCCTTGGTCTTAGACTCCCCAGCCTTCAAAACTGTGAGAAATAGATGTTTGTTTTTTTTAGCCACCTACTCTATGGTATTTTTGTTATAGCAGCCTGAACTTTTAAGGTTACTAAGAAATCTCAGTTTACACCATGTTATAAAGATATTACCATATATTTACTTCTGGATGCTTTATAGGTTTATGACCCACCTTGAATGAACTTTTGTAAACAGTGTGAGGAGGGAGTCATGTTCATCCCCCCCCCCACATATGCATATCCAGTTGTTTCAGCAACACCTGTTGAGATGACTAGCCTTTCCCCTTTTGCCCTAAATCAGTTGACTATATATGTGTCTATTTCTGGACTTTATTCCTTTATATTGATCTATTTGTCTATCCTTAAGCCATTATCACACCCCCTTGATTACTGTATGTTTAAAGTATATCTGATATCATATATATAATAACTTTCTCAACTTTATTTTTTTCAAAGTGGTTAGTAACTCTTCTAAACACTGAATTCCTGTGCAAATTTTAGAATAGACATCTCAGCTTCCAAAAAACTGGTTGCTCCAAATTCTATGGCAATGGCCTTGAATGTGTAGATATTTTGGATAGGATGAACATCTTATCAAACAATGAGTTACCCAATTTATGAACATAGTATATCTTATTATTTAGTTATTTTTCTCAGCAATATTTTACTGTTTTCAATGTAGAGTCCTTATACATTTTACATATTAAATTTATTCTGTTATTTTATAACTTTTGATATTATTATAAATAGTATTTTTACTAAATTTATTAAATATTTACTGCTAGTATATAAAAATAGAATATTTATTTGTATATTGACTTTGTAGCTGTAATCATGTTTAATTTACTTATTCTTCCTAGTACTTTTTTGGTAAATTCTTTAGGCTTTTCTATATCAACAGTCATGTTGCCCATAAATAGAACAGGTTTTTCCTGTTTTTAATTTCTTCCTTTCTAATCTTTGGCCTTTTATTTATTTTTTTTTTTTGGTTTATTTAATTTGCTAAGGCCTCTGCTACAATGTTAAAAAAACTGTTGAAAGAAAATATTCTTGCCTTGTTTACAATCTAATTGAAAAATGTTGAATATTTCACTGTTAGATATAATGTCAACTAAAGGTTTATCCCCGTGCAGTTTACAATACAAAGTGTCCTGAAATGAAGAGCTGTAAATAGCTATGTCGATCCATGTCAGTGTTGATCTGACCTAGTGTGGTTTCCTTCTTCAAGGTTTGAAAGGCTACTTTTCGTTGCTGTCCAAGGTATTTACACATCTTTATACATATATTATAATTAATCGTAGCAAGATTAGTCCAATGCAAGCTACTCCAACCATTAATGAAAACTTCAATTGAATATTTAATTTCAATATTATGTTCTTAATTTCTTTTTTTAATTTATTTATCTTTAGAAGAGAAGGGAAGGAGAGGAGAGAAATATCAATGTATGGTTGCTTCTGGTGCATCCCCTGCTGGGAACTGGCCCCTGCTGGGAACTGGCCCCTGCTGGGAATTGGCCTGCAACCCAGGCATGTGCCCTGACCAGGAATTGAACTGCCATCTTTTGGTTCGCAGGCCCGCACTCAGTCCACTGAGCTACACCAGCCAGGGCCTATGTTCTTAATTTCTTAATAGAAGTTTTATTTGTTAGTTTTCCTAAACCTGTTAGGTCTTTTTTGAGACTGCTCCTTATTTATTTGTTATTCTCTCTGTTATTTTCTTTAAAGATTTTATTTATTTATTTTTAGAGAGAGGGGGGGAGGAAGCAAGGGAGAAAAACATTGACCTATGAGAGATACATCAATCAGTTGCCTCCAACATGCCCCTAACTGGGGACCCACCCTACAACCCAGGCACATGCCTGGAGTGGGAATTGAACCAGCGACATTTTGCAGACTGGCACTCAGTCCACTGAGCCACATCAGCCAGGTCTCCTTGTTATTTTTAAAAGGTATTAGATGTTTTCATTTTACATCCTTTATCTCATTATTCCAATATTGAGACATTTATGTGCAGGCTAAATAATGTTTGTGCCATCTTTTTCCCTCACCTGAAATTGTATTTTTAAATGTGAGCTCACAGTCCCTGGAACTTTATCTCTGAGAGTTCTGTGTGTCCTGAGTTGAGAATCCATTCTTCCAGAAAGGATATATATATATATTGATTCTTGGAAACTTGGGCATGCTACCAACATGCATCCATTTTCATTTAAATTCTTGCTTAGGTATTTCCATCCTTGAAGACTGGGCATCCAACCACCATGAAGACCAGTCTGTGGCCAAGAATTCTTAGAAGAGACTCTTCCATTTCTCTACCAAAGGTCCAATAATGAGAAAAGCATATTTTTGCATTTACTCTGTCTTTATGCATTAGATATATTTTTCTCAATTTTTGTTTCCCTGAGAGTATACTATGTATGATTCCTGGCTCTGTGTAATCAATGTTCTGTTTCAACTTCCCACACCACCCTGGTCCAAAACTTGGTCTCCTGTTCCAGAGAGTGCAGCTCATAAAATCAAGCCTCTCTCGGCCACCTGGGGTTGCTGGGCGCCCACAAGAGAGCAGCTTCAGTGTCAGGGTTCCATCCTATGCAACTGCTCAAGCTTGGTTCTGAGCCTCAAGAGAATCTCAATGCTGTTTTATAAACCGAGCCATGTACATAATACTGCTTTGGGCATTTCACCCAATAGCTTTAGACATGTTGTAGTGAAAGGATTCCAGCATATCTAGTTTAATACAAAGCTAGAAATGTTTACTTTTTAATCTCTAAAAGCTTTAGTTATTAACCTTCATTTAGCTGGTTGGCAAATGAGTTATTAGAATGAATAAATAGCAATGGCTAACAAGAGAGATATTTGTTGACCTCTATGGGTATAAATACTGAATACGCTGTTTAATCTTTTAAAAACAGCTCTGAGAAAAAAGAAATGAATCAACAGATATCTGCATCCCTCATGAAGATTTTACTTCTGGAAGATGCCAAAGGATTTCCCTAAAGGGCTGTGAGAGGCACAGCCAATGAAGGAAACGTGAAGAAGAGGAGTGATGAGGCCTGTGTGAGAACCTCACGATTCTCAAAGCCGTCTTTCATGGATGAGATAAAGCTTGAACGGATCAAAATGTTTCTTGGAAGCTAGCCAGATTTCACATGAAAGGACTTTTATTTTACTCCTTTGCTAGGAAAAGAAATCACTTAGTAATCACACATAATACATTTGATTCCTAACACTAGATGATATACTGAAACCTATGGATGGGAAACCCTATCTCATCAATTGTCAAATACATTAATTCCAAAATGTTTAACATCGTAGCTTCACACACAGTCAACTACTCATTAAGTAGTAGCTGTTATTATGTCCACATGTAAAAGTTCTGATGTGAGAAACTTTTAATATCTTTGTAAATGTTGAGCTCAGAGACGGTTTAATGTCCTTGAGATACTGACAAAGCAAACTCAGGAAAGCTGTGCCTGGTTTCTCCTAAATGAAGACTGCCCAGGTCTAATACGGTTTCTCACTGAAAGCCGTCTATGTGACTGCAGCATCGTTTCTTCAGTGTTACATGAAAGGGGATTTGTGTTAGGCATTTGAGGATTACAAAGATGGACAGCAAGAAAAGTCTCCGTCTCCCAGGAGCCTGCAGTCTAGTGCTGTGATTCTCAACTCCGGGTGTACTTTACAAGATTCAAAAAAGAACTACCAACATCCACATGTGCATCTTTTCTCTACACAGAGACAGTGGGCATCTCAGGCAGAAGCCATATGCTCTTCATTCCTTATCCCTTACAGCCATTCCCTGTGTGTAGCAGGAACCTATTAAAACCAAGTTTAAATTACTCAACAAAAATACTAACGAAGTCCAATTTTAAATTATATGAATCCCTAAGACGAGTTACAAATATGGTGGGAATATTAAACTCCTAAACCAAAAAAAAAGTGTGCTTGTAACACTGCTCCCTGTGTTTCAAAGGCCCTATCCCCCAAAATGGAAATAACAGGTGTACCAAAATTAAAAGAAAATCAACTTTGTGTTTGGAAATACCTCCTATGATACCATAAGTTAGAGGATTTGTCTTACCAATTTCAGATAGCCCTCAGCATCCAGAATTAAGTTTTCTGGCTTCAGGTCTCTGTAGATAATACCTAGTCGATGCAGGTAATCAAATGCTTCAGTCACGCAAGCAACGCAGAACTTGGAGGTGGGTTCATCAAAGCTGCCTCTGCAACAAAACCATGTTCCCTCTTAATACTCTAGAAATACATCTCTGTTGTCTGCATTAGTAAATTCATGCAACACAGATGTTTTGTAGGACAGCAACAATAAGAAGTGTTTTATACTGCCAATGAGTCAGATCACAAAGAAATCCAGGGGGATACTAGCTGCAAACAAGAACTACTCCACTGAAAGTAAAATGTCTACATACAAATAATTGTTTCTGCTAATTGCATATGAACATATAAAATAGAAAAATAAGAAAAGGTTTTTGGACATTTATGGAGATATGCAGTGCTGGAGGAAATGCAACCATTTCAATAGCAAGCTTGAACCAGCTGTCCATAATTGATTGCTTGACTGAAAAATGACTCAAGTGATCATTTTCATTTCCTGTTTGTAAAGCATGTAACCTTAACTCCTTCCTGTCTGGTGCACCCTGATGATATTAGAGCTGCCGTCTGTCAGCACTGTGTGTGCTTAGGCACTGAATCATTAGGATGTGGTGGTGATTTGCTGCACAGTGGAAGAGGAGGATGTGCCTTTGGGGTGAGAGAGACCGCCTTTGACTCCTGCTGTTTCCACTTGCTGTGTCCCTGTGCAAGTTCTTCAGCTGTTCTGGGCCTCAGATCCCTATCTGTGAAATGGGTTTACTATTTACTTAATATTGATGTTTTGAGGATTAGGTACAATGCCTAACAGAAAATAGAAGTTCCCATTTCTAAATAGATTTATATTTTCCAAACCAATTTGCCTGTTGAAACAAGGATGAAAGATGCAAATGTTTTTGCAGTGTCATGGAAGTCTTCTCCTCCTTCCAGGTTCTCCTCATTTAGATCCATCCAACAATATGTTCCTAACATAACACATTCATCTTCTACTCAGATGCTCAATGGTCTCTTATTGACTAGGAGTGTGGTGCTCAACCATGAATGTGCATTAGAATTGCCTGAGAAGCATTAAAAATTATTCACTGGGCCCTAACCCAGATTAACTGAATTCTGATCTTTAGTGTTAGGGCTCAGCATTTTTGCTTTGTAAAGATTCCCATGTGACTGTAATGTGTAGCCAGGGTTAAGAACCACTGGCCCAGGTAATACAGTCTAATACAGCCTGGCGTTAACCCCCGTAACCTACTGCGAACCTCCCTTTCCATCTCCTCTTCTGCTGCCCTTGTCTTCTACTCAAATCCTGCTCTTCATCATCCACAGAGACCTGATCCTATCCGCACATTCCACGGCATCTTACATCAGTTTCCCTTCCACTCTGCCTTTCCACATTTGGTCATCCTTAGAGTTTAGGTCAAGCCCTTCCTCTCTTCCAAGATTACTATCTACCACACTCAACTGGCACTCAATTACAAACTGTCCATTTCTTTGTCATATATAGTTTGTACATTAAATAATGAAATGTTCTTAAATTCCATACACTATCTCCCAAAATAAACTCAAAACTTATTGAAAGAAAATATTATACTTTTTATTCTGCTGGTTAGAAAAGTCTGCATTGTCTAGAAAACCTCTAACTGTCTACTATGGAGCCCTGTACGCAGGTGGTGCTCAAAAAATTTTGTGTTTGACTGTGTGGAAACTACCCCTTTAATAAAATTGAATCTTTGCAGACATCTTACTCTGGTTTCAGAAAAGGCTTCACCATTCCCCACCTTTCTTCATCTCCCTTGTACAGAGTCACAATCAGAAGCATTTGGGTTTATATCTAGCACGTCATAATGAACATGTTACCCTGGATAGGTCACACTGTCCCTAAGCCTGGGATTCCTTAATCCCTGATATGGGGATAACAATAGTGGCCTTGCAGGATGCCTGTGGCATGACTACAATGTTGGCTAAGAAAATATCACTATTTCTACCTTATTTTGTCAAGTGATAATATTTTCTTAGAATCATATCTCAGCTACTTCCTCCATATCTCTTTAAATGAAGATGAACATAGGACGCTTTAGGCCATTTGTGAGTAGTCAAAAGTTATTGATTAAAATCTTTCATTACCTGTCTCTTAATATACTCCACAGCTCCCCACCTAAGCAGGCTTCCAGAAGCATGTATACGTACTTATTGTCCTTGAAAGTACGATACAATCTGTGAAGATGGATAAAAACACGGTTATTATTAGAAATCTGGTTTTTAAACCTCTCTAAAGTTACTTGAGGGTATTATCAATAACATTTTAAACATTGGTCCTCTTCTGCTACCAAATATCCCACAGCTACACTGGGCTTCTTCCTGAATACTCGGTGACCTTCCCTATTTTACTTTTGCTTAAATTGGACCCTTTACTTAGACTATTCTCCCTCTACTTACAAATAACTTCTTAATCTTAGGGCCTAGCTCAGAGGCCACCCTCCTGATAAACCAGCTCCTTACCCCGCCTACCAAACATGGCTTCTCCTTCCTCCAAAAACCCAGAGACCTCTGCATATATGTCTTTTAAGATCTGCTTTGCATAACAGTTATTCATACGCATGTCTTATGTCCTCTGGTTGGTTTCAGGAAACAGACTGTGAGACAGAGGTTTGTAAGAAGTTTACTGGGAGTTACACTTGCTAACAGTATTCATGGGGGAGAAATAAGGAGAACTGGGAAAAGAGAGAGTTGGGCTATAATCTAGTTCTAACAAAAGTCTCAGCTTCAAGGAGCTCCGCCATCACTGGATATAGGATATACCTGGAGGGGGAGCATGAACTTGGGCAAGAGGGTTCTCTCGACCTAAGAGCAATGGTGAGAGAGAGACTGAGCTAGAGTCCTCAGCTGGCAGCACACTGAGAATCTGGGGGAATGACAGCCCCAGTCCTGATGTGGGACCTGGGCACGGTACCGTATTTCCACATTGGGTGAAAGTAGTCTCTGGGTCTTAATCGAAAGACCTCCTTTTCTCTCTAGCACCATGCCCAAGCGAGAGAGACAGCAGAGCAGCCAATCATGTCCAGATAGCAAAAGCAATCTGGTACCAATTCAGTGCTGGCTCCAGGACCAGCTGCCTAGGCTTCAATTCCTGATTAGTCACGCACAACATTTACCTCACTGTTCTATAATGAAGATCAAATGAATATATGTATTCATTTGATTATATATTTATTAGATATTATTGACTATGCATAAACTTAAAATATTCTTATCTATATATTGCATATAAAATAAATATGACTTTTAAAAACAAATACATATAATTTTTATGCATATAAAATATATATTGCTTAGAAGAGTGTCAGGCACATGTTAATTTCTCAATAAATGTCATATTTATTTATAATATCATTATAACCCTACTATATGCCAAGAACTTCGTAAAGAGCTGGAAATGAGGAAATAAACAAAACTTAATCCATTCCCTGAAGCTGTTCATTATAGTTAATTAATTATAGTTAATTAGTTAAAAAAGAGGGGGATGTCCTTTCAGGACATAGTTAATATAAAGTCACTGGACAACCCTATTACCAGCACTGCCTGGGATCACACTTCCTTTTTAATATTGAAAAAAATAAAAATATGGGTTGGCAAAAGATTCTTTCATGGCATTTGATCCAAAAGTATAAATTGTATTCTTTGAAAGAACACTTTATATCACCCAGAAGTCACTACAGCTACACTAAAGTCATATAAGAAAATACAAATTGGCTTATATCACTAACCTATGAATTCACAAGACAGCCATGGCCTAGAATAATAAATTTTCTTCCCAGCTCTGGTGATAACTGCAGACAAAACAGTACCTATCAGGAGGTGGAACTTTCGGCCTCTAGGCATCTGGAGAACCACGGTCTGTTGCTCCTTGGCAGCCTACATATGCCCGAATGGCACTTCTTGCAGAAATTCAATAGCAGCAGTCTTCCTAAGGGGTTTCCAGTGAATTCTTGCTTCCCAAGTTCTGAATTAATTTTATACACGCACACACACACACATATGCACACACTCTTTCCTGAAATTTACTTAAAAACAAAAAGATCTTGGTGCTTGACTCCAGATCTCAAACTCCTAACATTTTGCGTGTTGTGTCTGTGCCTGGGATGGAGTGTTCCAAGTGCGGCCTCCTCTTCCTCTTGCATGGAAACACTCACGGAAAGAGACTGAAATCCTAAGTTCTAGAAGCCAAATGCTGACTTACTTCACAATGAAGGGAGAACACAACTCTTCTAGGATCCTCTTTTCTGAGTAGACATGCTCCTGTTGCTTAGTATCAACGATGTGCTTCTTCCTTATACACTTCATAGCAAAAGCAACGTTCTCGTTTTTTACTTTAACCTATGTAGGAAGAGAAAGATCCCTCAAAATTCACTTACTAGGAAAGACTGACAACATCTGTACAAAACATGTGGACTAATGGAGGTTAAAATTCTTTCACATTAAAACAGTAAGTTTTAACCACTCAATCCTCTGGGAACTGAGTTTTATTTAGGGGTACACATGTCCCCCTAACTATAATTTCTAAAAGAGTTCACATATCTGGAACAAGGTTCTAAAATATTTGTATTGAAACAGGAAGAGAAAAACTCTAGTTAAAAGATTTAATGCTTAGAAATCTATTCATTTATGAAGGTGACATAATGAGCTTTGACCAGAACTGACTGCAAAAGTATTTATTCTTCTTTGATTTTTCAAAACAAAACATAGTAAATCAAGATCTATATTTGCACTATCCCGTGTAATAGCCACTAGTTGCATGAGGTTATTTAATTTTCAATTAATTAAAATAAAAATTCAGTTTCTCTGTTGCATTAGCCACATTTCAAAAGTTCAATCGCCACCCCTAACTAGTGGCTACCCTATTGGATGACACGGGTATAGAACATTTCCATCCGTGTAGAACATTCTACTGGAGAGCACTGCTCTGCATGGACAGTCCCTTAAAGAGAAATTTGTAAAGACATTAATAGGTATTCAGATAGGCCTGAAATTCCATAAGCAGACTACATTTGACAAGTAATAAAATTGTGCAGAATTGGTGCAAAAACTCCATATTTTTCTCACATTTACCATTAATGCTGCCTACGACTGTTAAACTAAAGGTGAAATTATTGTTTCCATTATGATTCTCTATAGAAAAAAAACAGATCTTAGCATTATTAATCCAGTCCTTTTGCCAAGATCTTTGGTGAACCATATCACGGCAGATGGACGTTGCCCTCCCCTCTCCATATGCCACAGAAACACTACAAACAGTCTTTGGCCTATTAAGGAATCATCTCTTCCTCACTCACCCATTAGAGGTGAAGTATTGACTCATGCGAAGTGCACTATCCAGAGTCTCATGGCAACATTTAAGATTTGCTTGTGCCCAGGGCTACCCAGCAGACAGAAGTGTCAGCATAGTTTCCAGACACTAATATAAGAGAATTGTTAAAAATCTGCTGGGTAGAGAAGGGCTTGGTAATTGCCAAGGGTTCAGAACCATCTGTATCTAATAAGGTCACAGATCTCCATTCTATAGTTTCCTCTGAGCACCTGATCCGATGGTACCACTCTGCTCCTCCTGGGAAGCTGGTCCTAAAGCTCAGAGAGATGGCCATGTGGAAGATGCAGCAGAAGTGAGGCCATATAGTCCCAGCTGTCCTGACCAACACTACAGAAGGCTGCTCTTCAGCATCCCCTTGCATTCATCTTCTTTTCTTTTTTTCTGATAAAGAACTTTGGGCAACCCACAAATAGAATAATAAAAGCGAAAAACAGACATGGTAGTGAAGTTGTTTAAGAGATGGAAATATATATATAATATTGAAGATTTTGTTTCTATGGCACTTGCACAGGACACATTCTTCTTTAGTATACAGACAGTGAATGTGTCATGAGTATACATATATACACATTTTGCTGTTGGGAAATACATTTTAAGGTGTTGTAGTCTTTGGGAATGCTTGTGTGGTACATTCTTCAATAAATACCACCATGAAAAAAATTCACAAAAGCATGTGATTGAAGAAGCTTGAAGTAGCAGCTCTAAGTTACATAGTAGCACAGATTTGCCACTATACAACAAGTAAACTGAAAAGTGTACTTTCTCAATTCAAAGCAACATTTATGATAGCAATAATATCTCATACATTCCTCCAAGATATACTGTAACATAAAGCAAAACAAAAAAGTCAAAGGCTTCTCTCAGATGCTTGAAACGTAAACCCCTTACAAGCTCAACTCTTCCGAACCCACCAACGCCCAGAGTTGCAATAATCTCAAGGTTCTGGAATGGGGATGAAGAGGAAAATCTGGCCACCTTCTCCTTCAGCTGAATCATCTCCAGAGAGAGTGCTTTGGACAGCTTCTGGTTAGACATGGATCTCCTGTTCAAGAGAAGTGACACATTACACACACCTCCGTAGTCGAGCAGGGATCATGCCACACACAACTTCCACACTTGCAACAGTCTTATTTCTGAGTGACAACTGCCTACACTTGCCACAAAGGCTATTTCAGCTTTTATAGGATCAGATCCAGTCATATCAGGGGTTAAAATAATAGAACATACAAACAAAATCTGTCATGCACATACATAATAAGAAATAGACAAAAACAAACTGAATCAGTGAGAGGTAAAAGTGAGTGATTTGTGTGGTATTTAAAATACATCTGCATGAAGCAGTTAAAAAGAAAAGAGTCAGTAAGAGCAAATTAAACCTGAGAGCCATTTGCTTTGTTGCATAAACCAGAGATGCCACACTGAGAGTCACATCGCATTTTGCTATTTTTGTCAGATCTTGACGCTTTCTATGACTGAACCAGAGTAACTACTTTGTGAAATATAAAATATGTATTTCCTACTTTATATTGAACTATTGTTATTTGGAAATACTCAATTTTTTCTTTTATTTAAGGCTTGCTGCTCTGTATTAAATATTCATCAATTGTTGTTACAACAAAAGGCCTTTGGCATAAAAGTTGAAAATACATTCCCTGCCAAAAATAAAACAAAACAAAAAAACCCATATAAGGTCCTGATCAAATGCTTGAATTTAACTTAAATGGGAGTTTTCTAGAACTTTTGACTCTTCACCTTCCATTATACTCTCTGGTGGACATATGCTTAAGTATTCACTCTAAAAATATCATAGCAAAGGATTTTTAAATAAATTTAATTTTACAAAGTAGAGTTTTCTTTTAAACAGAAAATTCCTTTTCATTATTGCTACATTTAGAGCCCTACCCAACTTCTTCCTACACACACACACACACACACACACACACACACCCCCAAGGGATCTAATGAACAATAGGTCCCTTATATTTTGAAGTAATTCTGACTATACCACAAGTTTTTTAACCTGAAATCAGAGAAGGGGCTACTCTAATGCCTTGGCATCCCTGTCTGATTTCCATGGGCAACAGAAGCTTTGCTTCTGAATTACTGTCCTTGTGAGTGAAGGCACCAGACACTGTGAAGAATCCCTTTCTAACAAGGCCTGCTATTAGGAAATTTCTTCTTACCATCAGTACTCATCACCCAAAATCAGGAGCTGCCAACTTACAAATTGAAATGATTACAGTAGTGGCAAGTGGCATCCTCTTTGTGGGAGACAATTTAAAAGAATTCCCCCCAACTTTCTTGGGAAGGCACAATAATAGTAAATCACATCCCTTTGTCCCCTTCTTCACTGACTGCTGTGATCATACCCAGCTTAGGAAAATATCCCTCCACTTACTTCGCATGTCTTTTTTCATCATCGCGGGTCAGGTTTGCCACATAGCCTTCAAGGTATTTTTGGAGTTCTTCAAAAGTCCCAACTGTTTGGTTGAATGTTCTAAATGAATAAAAAATTAAATTAAAATCTCTGTGCTGATGGTTAGCATTGCAACTTGACATTTTTCTTAAGCGTGTAAAAGACTATTTCTATGGTTATGCAAGGCTCTGTAAATTGTTTTCAATAATTTATGTATGTTAATGTCACCATAATATGTAGATTAGTTATTAGAAGTTATATAGTGAATTCTTTAAGGTTATGAAAGCAAAAAAGCTATCAGAAGAAAAAACATTTCTGTAGTTTTCTGACTTGCAGTTCAGGTTTACCAAGTTTTTTTTTTAAGACAGGGGAAAGGAAACACTCCACAGATTGCTTCTCCTACTGTACACATACTATGGGAGCCAAATGGCACGGTGTAAAGCAGGTTGAAAGAAACAGGGAGACCTGGGCAGGAGTCCCTGCTCCATCACAGACAGCGCTGGTGGAGCAGTTCTTTAACTGGTCTGGGACTCACTGTTCTTATCTGCAAAGGAGAGATTATTCTACATGTGGATGTCAACCAGACTTATTGTGGTAATCGGTTCACAGTACAGACATACGTGGAATCATTATGTTGTACACCTGAAACTAATACAATGTTATGGAATGAAAAATAATAAAGAAAAAAGAATTATTGTTAACTTTTTAGGTATGTTAAAGTTATTGTGGTCACACATTATAAATAATACTTAGTTTTTAGAGATGCTACTCAACTTTACAGGTGATGTCATTTTATGTGTGTGATTTGCTGGAAAATAGAGTGGAGAAAGTAGGGAGGGTTGTTGAAGTGGTATAAATAATGCATTAATACATCATTGTTGAACTTGCATTATGAGGTTCATAATAACATTTTAAAAAATATTTAAAATTTTCTTTAATAAAAAGATTTTTAAGTGTTCTAAAGTTCTTTCCATCTCTAGAGCTCTATGATTCTATATTTAACACATGTTGTATTCAACTAGAAATCAATTTATACACTTCCTTGTGATACTTCTTGTTATGATTTTTTGCTAATATTTCACACAAGTATGCTCTATTTCTTTGACTACACTAAAACTTTTCTTACAGAATCACTCAGCTTTGGTATGTTTGATTTTCCTTTAATATAACTAGAGAATATTTAACTAATTAGTGAGGTAGACAAGGAATCAAATTCACATATAATTTGAAGTAAGTTAAGGACACAAAATGAGACTTATTCTTAAAAATAACCTAAGACATTTAGACCCAGAAATCAACCCAACTCTCTACAGTCAATTAATATTTGACAAAAGGGGCAGTAACATCAAGTGGAGTAAAGATAGCCTCTTCAACAAATGGTGTTGGGAGAACTGGACAGCTATGTGCAAAAAAATGAAACTTGAGCACCAACTTACATCATACACCAAAATAAATTCAAGGTGGATAAAAGACTTAACTATAAGCCATGACACCATTAAAGTCCTAGAGAAGAACATCGGCAAGAAAATCTCAGATATTCCACGCAGCAACATTTTTACCGATATGTCCCCTAGAGCAAGGGATATACAGGAAAGAATAAACAAATGGGACCTCATCAAAATAAAAAGCTTCTGCATGGCCAAAGAAAACAGTATTAAATTAAAAAGACAACCAACTGTATGGGAAAACATATTTGCCAATGATACCTCAGACAAAGGTTTAATCTCTAAAATATACAAAGAACTTACATGACTCCACTCTAAGAAGACGACCAACCCAATTAAAAAATGGGAAAAAGACTTGAACAGACACTTCTCCAAAGAGGACATACAGAATATCCAGAGACACATAAAGAGATGCTCAATATCATTAGCTATCAGAGAGATGCAAATTAAAACCACAATGAGATACCACTTTACACCAGTCAGGATGGCTATCATAAACAAAGCAATAAACAACAAATGTTGGAGAGGTTGTGGGGAAAAGGGGTCCTTAGTTCACTGTTGGTGGGATTGCAGACTGGTACAACCATTATGGAGAACAGTATGGAATTTTCTCAGAAAAATAAAAATCCACCTGCCTTTTGACCCAGCAATTCCACTGCTAAGATTATATCCCAAGAATCCTAAAACATCAATTTCAAAGAACCTATGCACCACAATGTTCATAGCAGCACAATTTACAATAGCCAAGAGTTGGAAGCAACCTAGGTGCCCGTCAGTAAATGAATGGATCAAAAAATTGTGGTACATATACACCATGGAATTCTATGCAGCAGAGAGAAAGAAGGAGCTACTACCCTTTGCAACAACATGGATGGAACTGGAAAGCATTATGCTGAGTGAAATAGGCCAGGCATTGAAGGACAAATACCATATGATCTCACCTTTAACAGGAAGCTAAATAACAAAATAAACAAGCAAATAGAATAAAAACAAAGACACTAAAATAGAGAACAAGTGGGCAGCGACCAGAGGGGAGAGGGAAGGGAATTCAAGGGGAAAAACGAGGAGGGATTTTGAAGAACAAGTATGAAAGACACAGGGATGAGGTCTGTGGGGAGGGGGGTATGGGAGGGAGGTGGGGAGACGGGGCGGAGGGGGGGGTTGGGATGGGAGAAATTGACAAAAGAAAACTGTACTTGAAAAATAACTCAATAAATTAAAAAAAAATAACCTAAGACATTTAGAGATTAATATTGACACACATCATTTGCAAATTACTACAAGTGTTAAATTAAAACTTCTCTAGAAATATATATTGTTTACTAATATTCTATATATTGTCTGAGGAGATCAGTTTTGTTTAAAATTTTCTGACTGCTTAGAGAATCTTAGAAATGAATTATGAAATTGTTAACTCTATTATATGGGGAAACTATATGAGGACTAATACAGTCATTTCTCTGGAAGATGGAGAATTTAAATCTATTGCTGATATTTATGTACAAACTTTACATACAAAATATTTAGTCTGCCAGCATCTGCCACTGCCAAAGACAGATTCAGATCAGAAGGCCCAGTTCCTTCCCATGAATTTTAATAGATGTACTTGCAGCTGAAGATTGGCCAATATTTCCAAGTGGTGATGAATGAGAAGACAGATGGGCCCTTGGAATAACAGAAGGCCGCATCTTCAAAGGTGACAGGAGCCTGCCTTCTCCAACAATGTCAGTATACTCACTCTCGATCTATAACGAGGCATGCGACATCATTTTCCTCAGCAATGATGTTAGCTGATCTGACATCTTCACTGCAGACAAAAAGAGGGAAGTCAATTTTCTACAGCTAGAAATTAAACACCTATTTTTATTAGGGGACTTACTACTTTGTAAAACATCATCACTTAAACTTTCCAAATACTATGCTTTTTAAAAAAACATCATAAGCTATACTCCCTCCTTTCTCCACCCCCCCCAGAAAGATTTGAAATATATTCCAAATAAAGATTATGTGTACAAGAAATTCTGGGGGAAAACAGATAACTGTCCCGGGAATACAGAGGAATCAGTGACTGTGACTATGTATGGAATCTCTGTGTTCCTGTGCCTGCCAAAATAAAACAGCTCTCCTCGGATCAGATGGGAATTGCTAATGAATAGGCAGGCAAAAACAAAATTAACTGATGGTAAAAATTTACTGGAGAAACATTTAAGTAATTAACATACAATAAACCAATCAAGAATAATGCCCAAAGGAAGTGTTTTTAATGCCCTATTGCCCAATAAATTAAAAAACACTAAAATGCTTTCATTTCACAGAATATAATATGTACATCTTCCACTAAAATCTCTAAAATCAGAATATGTCTTACAATTGGTGATGAGTCATAGTGTAATTAATAGCAATGTCTCTCTTTCTCGGGGTATATAATATAATGGTGCATCTTACAACTGACATCTCAAACACAATGAATTACGGCATGTGATCTAATGATGGTAAATCTAGTAACCTAATGAATACCAATAGGTCAAGTGTTGGGTAAAGTATCTAGAGACTTATATTTAATGTTTCCTCCCTCTAATAGTTATGAACTAAAGACACTGAAAAACAGGTACACCCACATGGTAGCCAGTGCTCTGAGATTCATTCAGGTAACCTGCAGTGGCAGGCACATTGAGACTCCTCTAAGCAACTACATCAGAAGATGCATCCCACAGAGTACAGTTCTTTTATCTTCCTTTAATTATGGGGCAGAGAAACCTTGGCAGCCCATCTCTACATTCCAAAGAAGTCTCCCTTCCCCATTACTGGCATCAAGAGATTTTTTGAAATCTCTTGTGAGGGGACATGACCCACAGTCCCTCCCAAGCTTACAGCTTTTTTGTTATAAGACATTAGCGAAAATACTAAAAAGCTTGATGAGATTTTGAATTGGGAGCTGGGTAGCTCGTACTCAACTTGTACGTGCACACATATCTGTAGATACATAGATACAGATGCGAGCTGGGACGTGGGCCAGCTACCTGATTTGTGAGTTCAGGTAAGAAGAGGTACGGCATCCTTTCCCCTTGTCAGCGTCATCATTAGTCATTATCCTGACTAGAAATACTCTCTGCAAACACTCTGTAAGCATTAGATGTGTGTCCATCACATGTTTCTTTCATAATAACCATGCGCCATGGATTTATTTTGCACATAAAATTCTGAAAGAACTCCTTGCACTACTTAATGTTGAGTCATGAAAATATATAGGATGTAAGGAATATTGCATCACAGTCTATGGCCCTGAAGCAATATCACAATAATGCACAAAAATGTAAAATATGTTTGTATCCAACTCTCCTAACTGATTTTAGCTTTATGCTTTCAAATGCTTTTGGGAGTGCAGTGTTTATATTAAATGTAAATTGCCATGTTTCTCATGGAAAAAAACCACTGTGATTGGCTAGCTGCCACATACCGCACAGATCACTTCACATCCTGCAAAATAAGGCAGCACAGTTCCCTTCAAAAGCTATTTTGACTCTATAGTACATTTATGAAGTTCTCTGTACTTTCAAACTTTAGTTATTTTGCTTGAAGTTATGAGAAGAATAATTGGAAAATCTTAAGAACAAATATATTGAAGTCTTGAATAATGACATTATGTAATCATATTACATGAATGTATCCTGTTCTGTCACAAATAAACAAACAAAAAAGGACAATTTCCCTATTACTAGAACACTTTTATTACCAGCTAGAAAATGGGAATGAAAAATTCAACTTGTGTTTAAAATTAAATTTAAAATTGTTTATATAATAGTTATAACATTAACTTTAAATAGTTGGTTTTCTTTAAATAATAAGTGTCATGATTTTCAAATAATAAAACTTATCTTCAGATATCAATTTACAAACACATTTTTTTGGTTCTTTCTTTACATACAAATAAGCAGAACTGGAGCTATCCAGATAAATGAAGAAAAATACTGCTTCTTTTTATGAGCCTGTGATTTTATTTTACTTATTGTATGAAATGAAAGCATTTAGTAATAACATAAAATTTAAAGAACTGCTTAACTCATATCAAATATTGGCTTAAGAACAAATATAAAACTCCAAAAAATGGTGTTTCTAAAAACTTTAAGTTGATTTTTGATAAAACTATTCACATTTATGAAAATGTAATTCTTCAGACTTGAAGTGGTTTTCTGAGTTCCAAGAAGTACAAAGTGTCTCCTACGCCACTTGATTAACCTTTTAAAATATTTCTTTCGCCCTGGCTGGTGTAGCTCAGTGGATTAAGCGCAGGCCTGTGAACCAAACAACTGCGGTTTGATTCCCAGTCAGGGCACATGCCTGGATTGCAGGCCAGTTCCCAGCAGGAGACACACCAGAGGCAACCATACATCGATATTTCTCTCCCTCTCTCCTTCCCTCCCCCTCTAAAAATAAATAAATAAAATCTTAAAAAAATGAAATAAAATATCTTTCATAAGTTTGATCAACCAAATAAATTCATAACTCAAAAGGCCTAATGTTCAGGTAGAAATTTCAAATATATTATTTTAAGTTTTTTCTAAAACTTGCAAAATGAGCTGATGAAAATTCTTAAAAACATAGCAGTCTTGTCACCATGATTAAAAAAGCACATGAAATGTGTAAAGTTGTTATCTGAGTTTTTTTTAAAGAGGGAAAACGGCAATATTTCAAACCATGGAAATATGGAAAACCCATTCTTAAGAGGAAATGATCATTTTGATTTTTTAACATGCATTCTCCAATTTTTTAAAACTAAAACACCTTGTTTTCACTGACAAACTTATGACCTTCAAACTTATTTTCTGCAAAAAAGTATTTTATATTTTTTTTAATTCCAAGATACTGGCTATCATTAATTTTGAAGCTTAATATGACAACTCTAAATGAGTACTTGTACATGCAAAACAGATAACTGCTTTAGTGTGGTACATAAATTCATGGATTCACCTGATAAGAGCCTTCTCTCCAAAGTATTCTCCTTTCTGCAGAGTTTTTATCAGTTGTGGCTGATCATGGCCCTCTGTACTCTGGGTGACTTTTACCTAAATTATGTCAAACAGTTAAAAAGAGAGAGAAGAAAAGAAAGAGAATCTGAGCACATATTGATGTAACCATACCCTGCAGCTCTATGCAAACTGGACTGAACAAGAAAGTTGGCAGTGGTCGGGACCCTCTGGATGCACTGAGAAATCCCGTGGTTTAACACAATCTCCTGCCTCCACCCTCCGTGAGAGGAGGACTCTCTATTCAAACCCCACCTCCCAAAGTGAAACATTTTTATGAGTCCACTCTTTCCTAGTGATAGTCAAAGCCAATAATAATGGTCCCGTGGGAACTTTGTCTCGAAATGACGAACAGAGTTGATAAATTAACCAAGAATAAGCCTGAGCATCAGCAGTTCTGTATCTGGTGTTTGTAACTGACTCACTGAATCCTGTGAACCCTTTCACGCAGGGCCCACCCACTTTCACGCATCACTGCGATGCACAGTGCAGGCAGGTTTCAGAGCCCCCACGGCAGAGCCTCACAAAAACTCCACTCTGCCTTGTTGGTGGTTAGAATTATTCCAATTCAAGATGATTAGATGACAAGGGTTGCCTCATGTTGAAATTCTGATGAGCACTTATCTAAGTCACAGTGAATTTTAAATAAATTTTTAGTCATAATTCTTTCAAAGCACAGGGCCCAGGCTGGACGGGAATGATACAGGAGATTCTGAGGGTTGAAGAGTTTCTGAGGTGTGCAACTATTTTGTTAATTTTTTTCTTCACTGGGAGCCCACTTTAAAGTTCAATTACACCCCAATTTACAAAGGGCAGTGCCTGACTCATTGATGATCAACTTTTCCATGAAGGGCAGAGCATTTTTAAAAACCAGGCAGTTTACAGACACAGGTGCACGATGACTCTCTCCTTCAGTATTTGACAAACGGTTTTTATCTTTGAGGACCATTGTAAAGAGTCAACTTAGGAACAACTGGCAATATGTCATTCGATCAAAATGTATCTGGGTAAGAAAAGAGTGCAATTCTATATTGTATAAAATTTTCATCAGCATCTAGATCAACTTAAGCTATTGTATGTGAATTGAAGTCCTGAGCCAGACTGTTCTATAGCTTGATGCCTGACCCTCGCTGTCCTCAAGTGCTGAGTTCACCCTCCCCCACCCGCTGCTGTCCTAATTTGTTGGATGGGAAAATGTTCCAGCCCTGATTTGGGACCTCTGGGCTGATTGAAAATCACACACTCGTAGATAGAAAGGACCTCGGAAATAACCCTGTCATTTAATGCACAATAAAATGAGGTCTGCAGCAAATCAAGTTGCCTGCTAAGGTTACTAGGAAGCTATTGTCTCATCTGTGCCCCCAGACCCAGTGCCCAGATTGAACCCCACAGGACTCTTCTGAGCAGAAACTCATTTGTCTGTTCAGTGCAGGGGACTTCTTCTGTTGCAATGCAGAGTGCTACTGTGTTTGGGGCAAACCGATTTGACAAGACTTTTCTATTTACTTTAAGTAAGCTACAATTAATATTTACCGTTCCTTTGGCTAAAATGAAAAAGGTACTTCCTTCCTCGCCCTCTCGTATAATGTAATCTCCTTTGTCATAGTATTCCTGTTGGGATGAGAGGAGAACAGGTTAGATCAGGTGGAGATATACCAATGAAGACATAAATGAAACAGAGCTCTTCATGTCTCTGAAGTGAGCATCCCATAACTATTTAATTCCTGCTATTGTAACTATAATCTCTTTTTTTAAAGGACTGCAGTTGTCAATTGTAGAAAAGTGAGGAGATTTTTGCATTATTGTCTGCATTTATGTTCATCTTTCACAGGAAAAAATTGCCTGGACTACTGAATTTCGGGCATGTCTTCAGACTGAAGACATGAAGGAAAATGAGAGCAAAGTAATAATCACACTTATACGGGTGGGCTTTCACATAAATAATCTGAATATAAACTGTTTACTAATCTGCAACAGACTGGAGCTAGGTCTAGAGCTTAGACAAAAGAACACATAATTGTTTGATAAACTGAAAATATTATCCCCAATGGATATTAGGAATATCAACCTCCATTTCTCATTCCTTGAAGAGCAAAGGCTGGGAAAATTGTATGGACATATTAAGTAGCTCTTTCACACAAACTTTTCCCAAAGCTTTATCATTATAAAAGACTGACATCAGAATCTTTTACATGTAAATTCTGTTCTTCAGTGTAGGTTTATCCTCATGAAATCTCAAAATGTCACACTTATCTGTTTCCCTCATATATGTGTATAATAAAAAAATTATTGGGCAGGGAAAGGTAATTCATCCACCTACCAGATCAAAAGAGCAATTCAGTCTTTTAGAAAATATTAAAGATGAATTAAACTGTCTACCTCTACTTTGCTTTAATGTGCCCTTGTCTCAGAGTCACAGATCTAAAATGGAACTCTTAATCATTTATACAAGCAAAAAATGGGCTTCTTTAATTTTTTAAAAGGCATTATTAACAAGATAATATGTCTCATTTTTCCTTTAGACTTGGCAGTAACATTCAAACAAAACCATTGTGTCTACTGTATTTCAATATCTTTTTTGCTTATTTATTCTTAAAACCTATTTACATTTATGGCATCAATAGCACTCCTAATACTAATAAACACACCTTTGAGTCTCATAGCACTGTGTACATGTGTACATTTTACAATACATTTCAACCTCTCATGGAAGGAAGAATGACATCATAGGGGAAAAGTATTTGAAGTCGGACAGAGCTAGATTCAAATCCTAGTTCTGCTGTGAATTTCACTTCCATCACTCCATAGAGTTCAAATAAGAATGTCTACCTTCAGAGATTTAGAGAAGAGAACCACCTTAGTGTTCTATTGCTGCTGAAATGAATAACCACACACTTAGTGGCTGAAAACAACACCCACTTATTATGTCTGTGTCAGAGAATTCAGGCACAGTGTGGCTCAACCAGATTTCTCTGCACTGGGTGTCTCAAGACTGAACTCAAGGTGTCAGCAGGGCCGGGTTCCTTTCCAGAGGCTCTGGGGAAAAGTCCACTTTCAAGCTTAATCATGTTGTTGGCAGAATTCAGTTCCTTGTGGTTGTAGGATAAGGCCCCACATCCATGCTGGCCATCATCCCAGAGCCTCTCTCCATTCGTTCTTGCACAAAGCCTCCTACATTTCAGAACCAGCAACGGCATGTGAAATTCTTCCACCTGGAATCTCTCTGACTTCCACTTCTGCTGCATCTTTCCAACTCTGGCCACAGAAAATCCTTGGCTCTTAAGGGTTCATATAATTATATTTGGCTCATCTAGACAATCCAGGATAATCTTCCCATTTTAAGGACAAGAACCTTAATTATATTGGCAAAGTCCCTTTTGCCATGTAACATAACATTCCCACATTCCAGGAATCAATGTCTGAAGATTTTTTGTGGAGGGTTCATTCTATCTACCACAATGAGCCAACAAAAGACAATGTCTTTTTTTTTTTTTTGAAACATTAAAAGCATTTGAAAATAGCAAAACTCAACATTTGCCACATTAAGGAGGATGACAATGGTTTACTGAGCTGTTACTTAAATCTTCTGGACCTCAGTCTCCTTTTCTGTAAAATTAAGATTGGATTACCCACCACACTTAATGTTGTTGGAGAACCAGGTGAGATACTGTATCTAAAGAACCTGGTGGCATATTTGGTACACACCAGGCACCTGCCGACTGGTAATTCCTGTGAAAGAGGCCATGAGCTGGTCATTGAAGTCTCCCACAGTAAATTGTACCCCTCAGCCTCCCCAATGAGGTGATGTGTGCCCCCTGCATGCCAGGCACATGAACCACTTGAGGCATGGAGCGTCCTACTTTTCCCTCCATCGTAATGGCATGGCCAGGAGAGATCTTGGAAGAGATCAGCTTGGGTTCCTGAATAATTCTTTGGATCCAAAAGGGACCATCTTCTTTGGACTGTTATGTAAGCAAGTGACAAACTTTTATTTTAGTTGGAAAATAATATTTTGAGTTTTCTGCATCTTACTTTGCTTGCTCCAATTCTTTCACCTTTCTCATTTTAGCTTTATCACAGCCTTTGCCACATACACTTTACATTTGAGATAATCATGACCCTCACAGGTTAAGGGAGTGAGCACCACACTGCAGTCCAGGCATCTTCATTACATCGTGTTCAACCCTCTTTATTAAAACTGCACATTAGACGTTCCTGTCTCAGGATGCTCTTCAGTCTCTCCTGGTACCTTTGACCAGATGGAGCAGAGGAGTGTGGAGAATTTCTGAAGTGCCACGAGGTTGTTCTTCAGTTATTACAAAGACTTTTGGTGTGTGCAGATGCACAACCTTAATTCCTGTCAATCAGTTTAGTTAAAAGGGGAGAAGCTTGAAAGGGTACACTGAGAAAGAGCTTTGTTGTTTCTTAAGGGACAACCTTCTTAGTGGTATTTTTCCCAGGGTTGGTTCTTTGTAACCCTAACCCATGGGAGGAAGATAAATAATACCTCCCAGTTTGTTGACAGTAACTTCATAGATCAGAAAAGGCTGTGGATGTAGGTCAGACCAAAAATATATAGTGGTATTGGCTATGATGCTTGACTGGACAGTGTTTGTCAGTGGGGAGTGCAGCCTGTCTAGCCAGGTGGTCACCAAGACCAAAAAGAGAAATGCAAATAGTGTGGTTACTGTCCTGTGGTTACGTTGCAAAGGGGTCCTCAGAGGACCAGGAAGCCATAGACCCTATCCTGTGGAGCAATGGTTTCCAACCACTTTTCACTCTGACCTACAGTAAGAAATACATTTTACACGCATGCCCAAACACATGTGAGCAGGAACACATACAGACATTTGTACGAAACTGAAACATGTTTTTCAAAACACTATTTATACTTATTACTCTGATATTAAAAAAATATTGCTCTAAATTGGTTTCATTGAGTTGTGCCCCACAGTGTGAAAAAGATTTTTTAAAAGAAGGTTGTAACTGGTCATCTCAAAAGGCGTATAGATAGTTAACTTTATGAAACCAAAGTCCTTCTGGGAGAAGCGTCCATTTCTTTCCTTGTACCTTTGAGATGCAGATACCCGGTCTTTTTCATGAACTCTCATCTTGGCCATCTTTTAAAATACAAGTTCCTGGGAGATAATTCTTTTCAAAGATGGGGAAACCTTAGCCATCTAAGCAGGTAGAATTTAACTTATTTCTTTAAAAAAAGAAGAAGAAAAAGAATATTCTGGAAATCCAAAGAGTACATACTGAGTGTATGTCATGCAGAAAAATAAGGAAATAATTCCAGGACAAACTGAGAGGTAGAGATCAGAAGAAAACTATACAGGCAGCAACCGCTAAAGATAAAAGATTTTTGTACTGTAAAAAATGTTCATTCTGTGATAGTCTAGGAAAATATGAGAGCCTGAGTATCTGTAAAAACATATATAAAACCAGAAGAAAAACCAAAGGTGTGAAAGACAGGGACAAAGAAACAAGCCGGGGACCTTCTTAGAGTCTTTAGTGTGTGGATAGAAACAAGTGTTGAGGATACACACACGACCCCCTCCACACACCATGTGACTTTGCACCCAAATAGGCTGCTTAAGAAACCGTACATAGGTATTTTGGTTGCCACTAGCAACTTTTTGTTTGCACAAGGACAACAGTTAAAACACCTTAGAAATGTTAAAGCAAACATACTTGGATCAGTGGATCCTATCAATTTTTAGTGCCTCATTACGGAATTCCAGGTAACCAGAACCTCCAAAAGGAAACCCAATGGTAATCCCCTGACTTGGGTAAGCCGACTACACAGAATTCCGTAACTAAAAGACTGAAACAGCCCATAGATATGTGGCCCACTGCCCCCTTGTTTTTATAGATGAGAAGACCCCACAATTAGCTGACAGCTGCTAGTGACAGAGGTTTGACCGCAGACCCTAATTCTGGACCTTAGACTAGTAAACATTCTACAACACCTTGCTGCCCCACCTTTAACTAACTGGATCACAAACTGTGGCAAATCCTGAGATCACCTCAACTTTCTCATGGCTCTAGATGTAATCACTGAAGTGAGAAACCCTCTGACTTATGTATGTGTTTGCAGGAACTATAAAGAAGACTAGACTTTTAAAACAGGATTTACCAAAAAAAAGAAAAAAGAAAAATTCCTGAATGAAGAGGCAGACTGTGGCAAACTCCAAGTACATGTATTCTGTTTATATCTTTAAGCTAGTGCTTCTCAAACTTTAATAAGCAAGCATAAGACTCACATAGTTTAAATGTGGATTTCTGGGCCGCTACTGCACCAGAATTTCTGATTCTGTAAGTGTGAGGTGGCACCTTGGAATCTGTCTTTTAAGCAGTCCCATGGGTGAGCTGAGTAAGGACTAGAACACTCCACATACCACAGCCCACACCACACCCACCACGCCTCCAGTTTCCTGAAAGATGGCATGTCAGAATCAGGGCAGAGGGTCACTGTGTCAGACTGCAAAGCTCTGAAACAAAGGTGACTTTCCGTCAAGCACGGTCAGAGTCCATGCTCCCTGGGTTGATCAGCACACAGAGAAACAGAAATTCCTTCCTCTCTCTGCTATACAATTGCCAGGTGCAGAAGTCGCATTATCATTTTTATTATCATTAATAGTTACACTGCTTTGCAAATGATGTTCATTCGTTAACGCTTAAAGCATGTCAGTGAATATGTTGGTACTATTCCCTCTCATTTTTACATCAGAATGGGAGGAGTAACTTGCAGGCAACATCTGCCTCCAGGGCTAGTGTTCTGGGTGATTTGACCTAAAGCAAGAGATGCTACTGGAACTCTACATGGCTGGGGCTATTTGGTCGAGGAGTTCAACAATCAAGGTCTTAGCAAACACATCAGATCAACTGCTTAGTGATGGGAAGTTCTAATCTCCCTTCCTGGTCCCTGTATAAAAATTTAAATACTCCCAGATCAACTCCTAAACAGCCTGCCAGATTCAGCTTGTTTTTCACCAAGATTATGGAGCCAGTGTGTGGGACAGCTGGTCCCAGGCTCAGCGGGCGCTCTGTCTGAATGCTGATGTGTTCGTGATGTGCTGCTGTCCGGGCCATGCTGATGGGTCCTAAGTCCAAGCTATGCCGCTAAATAATGTGCTTTTCTCAGAGTTACACAGATTCCATTTCTCCCTTGTTAATCACTTTTCTCATTTGAAAATTTTCACATGTTACTGAGTCACATGTGTTTGCCAGGTATGAATAAAGAGTTCTTTATAAACCACGCTGCTGCCTGCAAATGCTGAGATATAATAAAGCCTTTCTAGAGTGCTTTAAAAGATGAGACTTTCCAACTTGAATTGTGTGTTAATTAATACTGGATTTGAGCCCCCCGACCCCATCTATATAATCTGTAGTTGTTGCCTGTGGCTGCTATAAATATGTCTAATTTACCACTTATTTTTAATGATACTAAAGTTTAATATTTGCTGTCAGCATGGAATTCCCCTCTGGTGAATCTACTCTATTAGTATTATATTAAAACCAGATTTTCCTCAGCTAACAAAAAATATAGGGCCTCCCTAGTTTAAAAAAATCACTCAGAAATTAGGGTGAATTATTAATTTGTAACATCTGTGACTGGGTTACGTTACACTGGGAAAATCCCAAGAGATTCAGGGCGAGCAGTCCTCTTGAAAATGACTTCATAACTGAACACTCTGGGGACACAAGGCCAAGCACTGTGTCATCATGGCCTGTCCTTGATAAACTGCTGGATGGGGTCCATGAATTGTAAATGGAAACATTACCGGTGTCACTTACACTTAATGATTAAATGATCAGTGCTCCCTTCTCAACAGATATTAGTTTACATTGTATATTGTGATTGACAGAGGCATGAATCTGTCAACAATCAGTCTTGCAGGGTTTTTTTTTGGGAGGGAGGAGGTTGTCTCCTGCTGAGAACAGCTTCATAAAAGCTTAGAGTCTACATTTGACTCCTTAACTATTCCTTACTTTCTTTTAAATTCCGGAAAAGCCACTTTAGTTTCAATGAAATTAACCCCCCCCAAAGTTATGGAGACATTATTTGCTTTGAATTTTAATCTCTGAAATCTGAAGGTTTTTGTATAATGCATATCATTAGACCCCAAGGTAAATGTCATAAAAGCATAATTCACAAAAAGATTTGACTAGTCTTGGACTAGAACCAACCACCTGGGTGACACTTAATATGAGATTTTGAACACATTCCAACATGCCATTTTTTTTCCCTAGATGTTGAAATAAAGTGCTTCTTAAGTGCAGTTTTTTTTTCCCTAATGTATTTTCATGGCCTAGAGTTTTCAAGTATGAAGTGTTTCACAGCCCCGATTCAGAAGACTATCACCAAAAGCCCCAATATACTTTTCCTGAACTCTATTTCCTAATTATGCATCACTGAATTCTTTATAATATAAAAACTCTATAAGGGCTGATGATGTTAATTGTAGAAAATCAAATGCCTCTTGAGTAAGGCAGATTAGCTTTATAAAATACACTGAAAGAATTAAAATATGTAAATCAAATTTACACATGCAAATTCAATTTTGTTTTATACATTTCAGAAGAGTCATCTAAAGCCATCACAGTCCCACAATTCAGTGAGAACTGACCCACTTTTTCTTCACAGCAGAAAATGGCTCCTGGTCTCTGTAGCCTGGTGATCTAACATCTTTTCCTTTTTGTTCATTTACAGTGCTAATAATAACTAGATTGTACAACCTCTTAAAAAGTGCATTTTTTTGCTTTAAAATTTCTTACCACTTCCAAGCAGTCAATGATCTTGGTTAATTTGTCTTCAGGTAAATTCTTCAGCAATGATACACTTCAAAATAAAAAGAAACATTTATCTCCCAAAATTAAACTATAAATATACACCTATATGTAGACTGAAAAATCTCTACATGCATTTTTAAAAATGTGCTTTGGTTTTTACCAAGTAAACCTCAAAATATATCACACATAAATAACTAAGTTTCAAATACATTAAAATTATGCAAACACATATAATCACAGTTGTTTATTATAGATAAATAAATAAAAACAGCACAATACCATAAATGGAAAAATCAAATTTTGTCTTTGTGAGGAATAAAAAAAATTTTACATTCGTTTTTATTTTGAAAATGAATCACTTCTGAAAATGCGTTTTTCTCCATATATCAATATCTCTTACTAGTATGGATGAAAAGGGCTGCTTCCAGAGAGGGGATCAGATTTTCATCTAAATCTTTGTAATTAAGTAAAGATTGAGTTCAGGGAAGAACCTAGGAATTAGCATGAAAATGATCTCTGATGAGTTATGTTATATTGCCTTTTAAAATTAATGGTAGCCAGAGGCATGTAACAAACATTTTTACAAATAATAATATACAGAAAATGAAATAGAATACAGAAACTTATTTGGAAAAAATTAGAAATTCCACGAGTATGATGAACCAATCAAGATGATTAAGTTGCTCTATTAGAGAAATTTCTCCTCCACTTCACCCATTTTTACTCAGGACTGTTGATAAAATTTCTATAACATAAATGTCTTTCTTACCATCTAAAATTTGACATCCCTAAGGAAACAAAAAAAGACAGTACTCAAAAATGCATGATTGGACCTGAGTTTTGAAAAAGGAGCCTTAGACTGCCCTTTGCACATGTGCACCTAGAGGCGTGAGGCCAGGAGACGCACGTGAGAAGGTTTGCGTCGGAACCTGCGTCTCAGCCTGCAGTTGCCAGGCACTGGAAAGACACCCAGGAGCAGGGCAGACAAGTGTGCTGTGGTAGAGTCAGGTTTCAGAGCTCCACGACAGAAGAAATGACTAAAGTAACCAGATGGATAAACCTTAGCGAAAAATATCGAGTTGCAAAAATAACACCATATTTTAATGAAGTGCAAAAATAGGCTAAATCAAGCTATAGACACAATAATAAAGAATACCAAAGGAATGATTAGCACTAAACTTCCAAACACAGACTACCCCAAAAAGAGGGGGGTAGGAGGCTGGAAGTGAACTGGGGGAGCACCTGAGAACGACATTACTAACTTCCTACTTCTGGGGTCAGACAGTAGCTCGATGGTGCTCGTTTTGTTATCTTGTATTAAAATTACATGTGTACCATGTATTTTTTAGATACACCGCATACTTCACAATAAAAAGATTTAACTGGAAAAAGAAAGGGCTTACTCTGTGTTATGAAAGAAAGAGAAATGTATTTCTCTAATATGTCTCCTTATCAATGAAAAGGTAAAAGTGTAACCAGAACATGTTGTTAATTAACACATGCCCATCGTGAAAGTCCTATTTCTGCTCCACACTGGGATCTCCAATTTTAGTGAAAAATCCCTCCTGTAAACCAGTACCTTTGGGGATTGGTGAGGAAGTTGATGTGAGAAAAAATCTTTTGTCTGGCTCCCCTCCATCAAGGCAACGATCAGGTTTACCTTGATCACCACTGAATTGGCAATATTTAGGGTGTGGCAATAAGTATTAGTTGAATAAATGAAAGAATAAGATAACAAAAGGAAGGAAGGAGAGTAAAAAGAAAGGGGGGAATATGTACTAGTACATTCACTAAGCCAGAACACACTAGACTTCACGGGAATGTACTGCTACGCCTAGTGGTCCAGGTTTCATCACAGATATTTAAATGCAACCCACAAGCAGTGATTTATTTACTTATCCTCCCCGCTTTTTTGCCCCTGCGTAGGTGTGGTTCATTAGCTTTAAATGCTGACTTGTGTTGTTCAGTTGTCGAATTTTGAGATCACCTACACTAAGACATTGGTTGGCATAAGGTAAGGCACCTACTTGTCATTATTGCAGCTCTCTGCCAGGAGTCATGATTGATTCTGGGAGAGGAAAGTGGCAAGATTCTGTATGAGAAACCCTAACGCCTTCAAAGTCCTACTGACTAGCAATGTGCTCATTCAATATTTATTGAACCCTCACTATATGTGAGGCACTGTACAGCCCTAAAATCATTGGTTCTACAGACTTAATCTGCAAGATAAAGTCACTATACTTAAAAAGAACTTAGAGTTTATTTTTGCCATTTTATTATTACCACTTATCAGAGGTAACAGTTCATTACAGTATGTATTGCAGCTTCAGAGACTGTCAAAGGTGGCACAAAGAAAAAGAAAACAGGAAAATCGTTTAAATGAGAAACTTATATTTTCCAAAAATCTTTTAAATGTGTAATTGACTTCTTCGGTTATATAGGTATTTCTTTCATGATAGTTTTATTTGTCCAAATAGTTGGAAGTATGGAACAGTTCACAAAATGAGTATGATGAGCATGTTCCCCAAGTCCACGCCATCTTGGCAAGCATTGTAATGTTCTTGGCATGTTAATTAGCTACAAATACAGTAATCCTGAAGATGGTATATTTTCTCATCAGCTATGCAGATGAGAAAAAGATTGCCTCTGATAAAGCAAGCAGGAATAGTGAAATAAAATAATTTCAAAATTATTCTAAGCAAAGCATTATGAGAAAGACTGTCTTTTACTATCCTCTTCCAAACTATATAATATCTTATGAAGTCAACTGAGCAACCCAGGTGAATATTTTAGGATTTTTGTTTTGTTTTTGCAGTTTTCTATACAATATACAGTGGCACCATCTATATATGGGCAAAGTAGCAGGAGAAATAAATCACGGGTGATTGCATAAAGTTAATGTGAATTAAATAATATATAGAGTAGTATTTACTGCACAGAAATATTTCTGGCTGAGTCATGTGGAAAATGCTTAAGAAAGAAAAGCTACTGTGAAATAATTATGGTGATACAGCCAACATATCCACAAAACTGCTGCACCATCTTCTGCTCTTTCCACAAATGTGCCGCTCTTACCTTCTGAGGAAGTTTCTGTACTCTTCATCTCTAGCTTGAGCCGTCCTTCTCATTATATTTTGGAATACCTCTCGATCTAGCGCCCAAGTTTTCACATTGGTAATGGCTTTAGGAAAAAAATCAGAAAAGTAATAAAATACTATTTAGCCCCACATTAAGAAAACATTCCAAAATGTTAATCAACAAATTTGAATATGTTCTCATAAAAGAATATTTCTTGGAAAATGCATTATTTAAACATGCAAGTGGAAGGAAGCAGGGATATAAATAGTGGGTAATTTTATAAAATCAGTTTTGGTTTTTATATGAACAGTGGTTTGGAAGTGAGGAGCCAAAGATTTTCTTTCTAATTATGTTTTGCTAAAAATGATATTAAAATTAGTTTGCAATTCCCAATTAAGCATTGCATCATCAGGATGTATTTCAGATTTGTGCAGTGATACAAGAGAAAGCCAGTAACTAATCCAAAGAGTGAAGAAGAATTCACAAGCAGATAATTGAAAGTTAAAGATCTTTGGGTGTATGATGTTTTTATGTCTTTTTCTGTTGTTTAGAGATTGTTGCTAAAGAAAGCCAATATATTTTAAGGATCTCTATGGTTACTTCTTTTTTTTACAGGAAAGACTTTAAAAGCAAGAACAAAATCTAAACAGGAAGAGGAGCAGAAGTACCAGCTCTAAAAAATCTATATGGAATTATGGTTGTGAGATTATTTTTAAAAGGAATAATGAGAGCCTACAAAATAGATAAAAATCCCAAGCTCTGGTTTACTAAACTTTAGCATGAATTGGAATCATCTTAACATTCATGTTAAAAATATATTGCCAGAAATTCTGATTCAGGTTTGGAATGAAGCCCTGACTCTATGTTTACCAAATACTGTAGCAGTGCTGAGACATGTAACCCAGCCCCAAATACTGATAAACAGCTCATCAAAGTAATTCAGAAGAAAACTCAAGATTGAGTAAAGTCAAAACAGGAACCTTAAAGAGTAGCAATTAAATTAATTTCAAAAGTCATTCATGAAAGCCCTCATTAATTAATTCACATCTCTTTCAATATGTATATATTTTCATTGTTTTAATTAATTGTTATGGTTTATAATATGATCAAAACCTCATAGATAATGGGAAACAAGCATTCTGAATGAGCCAAAGGCAGATGTCTACATGGCAAAAAAAAAAAAAATGAAGTGATAATTAAAACAAATACTGGAATAATTCAGCTGGAAGCCATGTTCATATTTTACATACAGGTACCTGATGGGAAGTTCCTTCAAATTTGAATTATTTAAACAAGTGCTTCAATATAAATCTTTTTATAAGCATAGTATTCTTATCAATAAGAGTATAGGGGTCACAATGGAAGCCAAAAAGACTAAATCAGGATGCAATAATGACTCAACCAGATTATCTCTAACACTGTATAACAATTCAAAGCTATAACATTTCACTTCCGGTTACCTTTCACAGATGCAGTCCTTGTACAGTTGTATAAAATGGCTAGTTCCCCAAACGTGGTCCACATGGGAATGGATGGCAGCAATTTCTCCCCTTGGGACACCTCTACTCGGCCCTCTACCAGGTAGAATTAAAAAGAAATCAAAATCTGCTTGGATTCTATAAATTTTTAAAAAATAAACAATTAGAACACAAAGTGTAAAGTTAAGATATCTTATGATTCTCAATATACTAAAGTGGTTAAAAATGCAGACTTGTACTGGCTTGGCCACTTTATTTTTTAAAAGATTTTATTTATTTATTTTTAGAGAGAGGAGAGGGAAGGAGAAAGAGGGAGAGAAATATCAATGCGTGGTTGTCTCTCATGCGCCCCCTACTGGGGACCTGGCTTGCAACCCAGGCCTTGTGCCAAGACTGGAAATTGAACCAGAAAACCTTTGGTTTGCAGGCTGGTGCTCCATCCACTGTGCCACACCAGCCAGGGCTGCCACTTACTCTTGAAAGAGTTATCTTTTTTCTTTTAGGTTCCTTGTCCATAGTGGGGATAATAACATTTACTTCATGCATTTTTGTGAGATATAAATAACTTAATATAGGTAGGGAACTTAGAACAATGACTCACACATAGTAAATGCCATATAAGTGTTTGTTATTGTGAATATTATCACTGTTACATGAATAGCAAGCACTTTATTTAAAATTCATTCTAAACCATGACAAAAATTCTCTTGCACAAAAAACACAAATTACTGCATGTACTGGGAACACATCACAGCTGTTCACAGTTATAACTGAGAAGTGCACTGGCCCTGAAGTCAGACTGCCTGGTTCTGACAAGTCACTGGCTGTGTGTCCTTGGGAAAGTCACTTTACAAGGCCTCTGTAAGTGTCTAACCCCTCATTTAATGAAATGAATTAATAAATGGAAGTCATTAAGAAGAATGCTTGAAAAAGGCCACAAACTGGGAGAAAAAAGATCTGCAGAACACACATATGATAAAGGAATGTTGTTCAAAACACACAAAGAACTCTTAAAGCTCAACTTATGCTAACAAATAACCTAGTTGAAAAATGGGCCAAAGGCCTTCACACTCACCAAAGAAGACACACAGATTGTGAGTAAGCATATGAAAAGCTGGTCCACATCAAACGTTATAGAGAAATGCAAATTAAAATAACAAAGAGATACCACCACACACATTAGAATGGCCAAAATCAGGAAAATGACAACACCAAATGTTGACAAGGACATGGAGCAACAGGAACTCTCATTCACTGTCAGTGAAACTACAAAATGGTACAGCCCCTTTGAAAGACAGTTGGTAGTTTCTTGCAAAACTAAATATACTTTTACCATGCAATCCAACAATCATGCTCCTTGGTATTTACCTAAAAGAACAGAATATTTACACCCACACAAAAACCTACACACAGATTTTTATGTCAGCTTTATTCTTAACTGTCAAAACTTGGAGGCAACCAATATCTCCTCCAGTGGGTGAATAAATATATTAACTGTGGTACATCCAGACAATGCGATGTTATTTAATGCTAAAATGAAATGAGGTATCATGACATGAAAAGACACAGAGAAATCTTAAATGCATATTATAAGTGAAAGCAAACGATTCCAGCAGTATGACATTCTGGAAAAGAGAAAATTATGGAAAAAATAGAGAGATCAGTGGTGTCAGGGCTGGGGTGAACAAGATGAATAAGCAGAAAACAGGCTTTTTGGGGGCAATGCAAATGCTCTATCTAATATTAAAATGAATAATACATGCCATTATACATTTGTCTAAACCCACAGCATAAAATAACACTGAGAGTGAAGCCTAAAGTAAACTATGAACTTCGGGTGATTATGATATGTTAATATAGGTGCATCCTTGGAATAAAAATTAAACTAAAATAATTTTTTAAATGTACTGCTCTGGTGAGTGATGTTGATAATGGGAGAGGCTATGCATATGTGGGGGCAGGGTCATATGGGTAATCTCTGTATTTCCCTCTTAATATTGCTATAAAATGAAAAAGACTCTAAAAAATAAAGTCTTATGAAACAAATAAAAATGGGTTTGAGACTGTTTTTATTTAGGCAAAGATTGGAGGAAGGGAGAGGCAGCACTTCAGGTACCTCTTCACGATTCTATTTTGTTTTCCCCTGAGGATTCTATTCTTCTTTCCCTTTGAACAAATGTAAATAAAACCTTACCTAACCAAAAGAGTATGCAAAGAAAACCTTATATTCTTATGAGGATTATTCCTTCTCCTAATTCACTATTAAGTAGCCCTGGATCATCTCTGTCCATCCATTCAACAAATCTGATGTGAGTACTGATGGTGCAGTTCTGATGCAGGAACTGATACAGGTGCCAGAGATTGAGTGGACAAGACAGAAAGGATGAAAGAATTTGAAAGAATTTATAAGGATTTACAGGAACTAGTATAAAGGACACATGGACAACAACTAAGGGGGGTAGAAATGGGAGGGAGGTGGGAGGCACTGGGGGGTGGGCTGGGATGAGAGTAAAAAACAGAAAAGTGTACTTGAACAATAATTAAATAAATTAAAAAATAAATAAAACCAGGAACATAAAAAAATGAAAGAATTTATACTCTATCAACAAGTAAACTCTGTTTTGGGTCCAAATCCTATAAATTAGCTATGAAAATTTTAATAATTTCTCATTACAACTAAATTCTATTCCATTGAGACCATTTAATGGTACTGTCAAGTGGCTAGCACAGATTTTAATGCATTACATTTTTTTCTAATTGGTTATGTCTCACTGGAGTTGAGCAATACTGAAGATACATGGAATATCAAAAGTTTATGCTAAATATAATTTACCATTAGCTATTGATGCTATATTTTATGAGGGGGAGATTTTTAATTAACAAATTAATTTGCTCAGTGAACTAAATCAGACAATTCAGTCCTCAGATAACAGATAATTTATTCAAATAAGGAACTGTACCATTTTCATTTTTCTCTGTGCTAGAGCCCTGGTTAGAATGGCTGTATTGATGCTGCCCTCTGTTCTAACTTCTCTCTGCCCAAGTCTTCCACCAGCTCCTTGCACCAGCCCTCTCACCGGCAAGGAGCAAGATGGGCTGACATGAATTTCTCATCTTTTCCTAGTAGGTTCCATAAATATTTACTGTCTTAATGGTATATCTTCTCCTGCCAGAAGGTTCTAGTATTGCTAGAGTAGAAGTGAAATGGCTAAGAAAAAAATTAGAAGAGGGGAAAAATTACTCCTGATTACCTGTCCTCAAAAGCTTGAAGGCTTTTTCGGGAAAAACTATAAAGGACACATGGACACAACCAAGGGAGGGTGGGTGAAAGCAAGGAAGGGAAGTGGGTTTGGCTGGTGGGGAGGAGTGGTAGGGTATAAATGCAGACAACCATAATTGAATGACAATAAAATAATTTTTTAAAATCTTGAAGGTTGCATAACTGAAGACTATAATTCACTTCTTGGGTAAAATAATTACTTGGGAAGAACTATAGAATTTAAGGTTGTCTACAAGGATGTAGATGGCAAATAATAAATCAATAATCATGAGACAGGGTTGCTTAAAGAATCAAAGTGTATGAAAACAATCTTTCACATACTATAACTAGAACAACACATGCTTCCTAATTTGTTTACATGGGCAACTTCTGCTCCACACTGAAGAATCCAAATACATGAGAATTGTAGAAGCATTGCCTGAGAAGTGGCAAGATCATTGGATTAGCACTTGTTCACTAGAACATGCCACACTTAGAGACTAACTGTAAAAAGTGACTCAGTAAACTTAACATCATCTCTCACATTAATGTTCACTTAAATTTTAGTGGTTTGTAATTTTAGTTAATATTCAGCTTATACATTTATTTTGGTATTTTTGTTATTTTAAAGATATGTCCAAATGTCCTGGTGTTGTTTGCATATAAATTTGAGGCTATAATTAGAGTAATTTAAAAATAAAAATGTATAAGCATTGCTTAGATTGCCACGAACTAAAATGCAAAACAGAAGACCACAGCATATCTTAGATCACCATCCCATCTGAGTAAGCCAATTTAACTTTTTCCTTAAAACTCAAAAAGTTGGTGCAATTCAGAATTTCACAGGGTGTTCAATAGCCATAAGCCCTATTCAGATCATTTTTGCTTCTTTATCTAAAACAAAAAAGTTTTTGTGTACCACTATAAGACTTATGCATTTGATATGCACTTGAGAAATAAACCCTTTGCCTATCTAACCATTATAATCTTTCCAGTATGTGAAGCATGTTCAAGTGATCGTATGTGAAGAAAGCCATGTGAATGGCTCCAAAAACATCAGTTTTAATTTTAAGGCACTCCATTTGATTTGTTGGCTAAACTGTACCCAAATTCTCTTTCAAATTATGGTATATAGCCAAAATATTTTACAACTCCATAAAAAGTAATTGTTTCTTTTTTCCTAGTACAATCACCTAAAAATGTCAACATAAGCAGAGTATTTTGAATGGAAACAGCTTCTTGGAGTTGTTGAGTGAGTTGTACTGTGACTGAAAGTGTGGCCCTGAGCCCGATCACCTATGTCTGTGTCCTACCTCCACTACTTAGGAGCCGTGTGGCCCTGCACAAGTCATTTAACTTCTCTGCGACACAGTCCACATTAGGAACATGGAGATACAACCTTTGCCTAACAGCTGATGAGAAGATGAATGGGATTTCTCTATGAAGTGATCAGTAGGATGCTTGACATACAGAAAGCATTCAGTAAATGTTAAGTATTATCATCACAATTTGATCAGCAATGTTAATATTTCATGAGTACAATCTGTTCCATTTCCTGCAAACACAGAAAATTATTTTGCATTCTTATAAATGTTTGCAAAAATCATAAGACAATAGGCAAAATATTTGTTGTAGATAACTGGAAAAATCTGTGAAACCCACCTGCCAGCACAAAGATGTGGTTTCCTGGCTCTCCTTGCTTGATAATGTAACTCCCTTGCTGGTAGTTTCTCCCATACATGCACTCCACCATGTCTTTGATCTGCTGAGGGTCCAGTCTCTTTAGAAATTGATTCTTATTAAGAGCATCTGTAATGAGCTTCTTCTCACTGGTGTAATGGAAAAGAGATGTTAGTTATAACGAATAAAAATTATGTTTTGCTATTTAGATTCACTTCATTTTGAATCTTGATACAACTACCTATGTACTTACAACTTTTCCAGCAGGACAAAACGTTTTTCTACCAACATTTGACCATTATAACTACTACCATTTACATGCAAAAAATCGTTGAAAATGTTTTAGAATACTTTTTGGTAATCATTATTACACCAAGGCTGATTATCACTCCTAATTGCCTTCATTACAAATGTTGCATCTCTCAAGACTCCTAGGTGCACTACTACTGAACCCATGACTTTGGGTAGAAAGCAAATCTTGGTTGGTAGATAGAAGATATATTTAAGGGACTACAACACAGTTCATTCACTGATGTATGTAGGTATCCATAGTGCCTATGGCACTGGTTATTTTATATATTATTTAATCCTTACCACTATCCTGTGAGATAATTACTCTTCCTATTTTATGGATAAGTAGACTAAGAACAAACAACTTATTCTCTCTAGGATTTAAGTCTAGGTTTGTAAGTCTGAAGTGTGTGCTGAGTCCATTCTATCCATTGGCTTTTCTGAGCTGGAGAAGCCAGCTCCCTCGGGACTTGTCAGGTTTGATCAGACATAAAGGGTAGTTGTGGTAGCCTGGGTTTGCCTAGGTTTTGTCTCTAGTGTGTCTAGACTAGACAACCTATGTTTTCAATCACACAGCCTTTTTATTCCCCAAATTCAAGGCCCACTAGTTAATAACCCTAGAATAGTCTACTTTTTTATAGAAAAGAAGTAGCTATAAATAATTACTCAATATTCATAGCCATACACTTCAAATGTTTTCATTTACATATTTTATATGTAGCTATTATAGAATTGATGAACTAGAAAAACTGTTGCCTTATGGACTAAGAATCTTTGCACAAAACATTTGCCCTCACTCAAACTCAGTGTGATTTATTTTTAAATAGAGTATTTTAATGTATTGTTCATTCAAATTCTCCCATCATGAGCTTTATTGTTTGAAAACTTGTCATCTTTTTTTCACACAGCAAGTTCTCATGCACAAGGTAAAATGTCATGGAAGTAGACCCTTCCGTCATGACCACATTCATCAGATCATCATGTTACCTGAAGGAAACAGAACAAAGTTCTGTACAGAAATTCCTTCTTCCATACAGTAATACCATCATCCTCAGAGCCATCCAGACTCTGAGCACCTTGAGAACTTCCCTCCTCCTTCATCTAGTCTATCACCAAATCTTGTCAATTCTCCTTACAAATATCACTTTTATCCATCTGGTTTCCATTTTCGAGGATGCCACCACATCCTTGAAAATGGAAACCAAAAAAAAACTTAGGTCTTGACAACCTTAACAGCTTCTTTTTTCCTATCTCATCTTCTAGTGGCGTGCCCCTACAGACCATCCTATACCACCATATCGGGCTCTTCTTGCCAAAAAACTGACTTCACCTTCATCTAATTCTTCCTTCATGCACTAAAACCAATTCATTCAATTAATAAGTACTGAGAAAATACTGCTGCTAGATGTACTTAAGTGCAAGTAGGAGAAATGTGAATACCCCCAGAGTCCCAGCTTTTGTCGTCCTTTCATAACAGGTATCATTCCAGCAAATGTTCCCTTAGTGCATACACATCCCCATATTAGAATTTCACGATGCATACTTTAAAGGTTCAAAGAATTCTTGCAGTAAACAAATCTGTTTAAACCAATGTTTCCCAAAGTTGAATGTCTTTCTTACTTATTTATTGACTTGACTTCTATTAATGTTCATGGAAGTACAACTGACCCTTGAACAACATGGATTTGAATGGCATGGGTCTACTTATATGCAGATTTTTTCAATAAATACTGTAAATGTATTTTCTCTTCCTTAGGATTTTCTTAATAATAGTTTCTTTTCTCTAGCTTACTTTATAGTAACAATACAGTATGTAATATATATGTAAAATCTATGTATCCACTGTTTATGTCATCACTAAGGCTTCCAGTCAATAGTAGGCTACTTAACTAACTTCCAGTCAAACATTATATTTTGATTTTTGATTGTGCAGGGGAGTTGGTGAACTTTACCCCTGTGCTGTTCAAGGGTCAACTACACTCTGAAAACTGTTTGCCCATAGAAGAAAACAACATCCCACAGTGTGGTCTTCCCCATTTCTAACCACATGGCCCTACTATATCCATCTAGTACTTAGTCATAAAAAATCCTTTGTCATAGGTAGGCTAGTATCTTCACTGTCTCCTTTGCTGGTCAGCTTTATCTTCAGGTTTAGCACATGCTTTCTCCTCTACTTAGCTTCTTCTCCTCTCAACCTATCAAAACCTTACCAACACATCTAGCAAGAAATTCTTTATGTCCTAATGAATCCTGCCTAGACACTGTATCTCACACAATCTTTTTATTCTATTCTAAACTTCTAATACACTTGTATTCAGACCCATTCAATGCAACAATTTTACCAAGCATTTATTTAGGTCATAAAAATTAATTAAGCATGGCCCGTGGCCTCAAAAAGTTCCCAGATACTTTTAACTTAGTTTACTGTAATATTGTAGTATTTAAAAAAAGTTATATTTATAAGTTTTTCTTCAAATTCTATTATAAATTCTTAGAGGAGTGGGTCTTTGTATTGAATTTTCTGTTTAAGAAGCAGCATACAGAAATGATTAGGAATATGAACTTTGCAACTTCTCCTAAAACTATGACAGGCCAGATAGTATAATCCCTGCTCATACAGAACAATTTATAAAAGCTGATGAAAATATATATTCACAAATCTACATGAAAGCATAGGAGACCTATCAACAGAGTAATGACTTGATGATGCATGATCAGCAAGAGAACATGAGGCTGACATCCATCTCTACTTTTCCCTTCAGGGCATTTTCTCATCTGTAGGCAGCACTAAGCAGAGTTTTGGCCAAAGGGTTTGGAAGACAAATGTTAATGTTCAAAACACACCATGTGGGAGAGATCCTGGGAAATACCCAGGACTTTGGTCGAACATAAAGGGATGCATGCAGCCTGAAAGTAAAGACTAACCAAACCAGGCCAGTTCCCAAAAAGGCTGAAAACCAACTTTGAAACAACAAATCCCTGTTCTGATTAAGTGATTTGCCTCTGGACTAACTGTCTGCCAGAAACAAAGGTAAATGTTTTCTGTGGGATGCTCATAAAATCTAAAACAAATTTTCTCTACAGTTTTTCTATAAAGAGTATCTGGCATGACATAAAACATTACCAGGCATAACACAAAAAAGATCAATGAACAGCAAGAAAAAAAAAGAAAATAGAAACAGACCCACAGTAGATCAAAATATTGCACATACTGGACACAGGTATTAATATAGCTGTAGTTAATATGTTGAAGGAAATCAAGGACAAAATGGAGAATGTCAGTGGAGGAAACAAATATTTCTTATAAATAAAAATAGAGATTCTAGAATTGAAACATAATATCTGAAGCTTGGTACACAATAAATGGGCTTAAAATCTAGTAAGACACAGCAGAAGAAGATCAGAAACTAAATATGTAAAGGCAACTAAAATATATCTAGGTAGAATATTGGAGAGAATCTGGGATGGAAAACAGAGCAACAACAACAAAAACAAAACACAGGAGACATATATAATAAAAAAGTTGAACATATGTGTGATCTGAGCCCCCAAAGAATGGAACAAATTGCTCTGAAATGATATATGAAGGTATTATATTCAAGAACTTTCTTAAATCAGTGAAAATACTTCAAGCCACAGACAATATACACAACAAACTCCACACAAAATATATACACAGAAAACTGTATCTAGTCCCATCAGAACCGAGTTACTGAAAACCAAATACAAAGATGAAAATTTATAAAACATTTGGAGAAAAGAGACCCATTACCTTCAAATGACCAACACAAATATATATATATACATATATATAGTCTTTTCCCCCATATATGTATATTTTCCAAGACATCACTTGAAAAGAACAAACTTTAAAAAATGCTAACCTTTGTTAACTTTCAAGGAAAAGCAAACTGAAATCACCGTGAGATACCACAACACGCCCGCCAGAATGGTTCAAATGAGAAAGACTGACAATGCCAAATGCCAGCAAGAATGTGGAGTAACTTACCTCACACACTACTGGTGAGAGTATATGTTTTTTTTCAACCATTCTGGAAAACTATTTGGCAATTTATATTATATGTGACAACACTGTGGTGATTGGCAGAGAGGGGGAAGGGAGGTAGAAGATATAAAGCGGGGATAAATTGTGCTGGGAGGAGACTCGACTTGGAGTGGTGAACACACAATACAAAATACAGAGGATGTACCTCAGCATTGTATACCTGAGATCTCATTTTATTAACCAATGTCACCCCAATAAATTCAATAAAAAATGTACTACCCAGTAATCCCACCCTAGGTATAAACCCATCATAAATCATAGTAATGTACTACAAGACATGTGCAAGCATGTTTATGGAAGCTTTATTCTAAATTGCTAAATACCAGAATCAACCAAATGCCCATAAATAGCTATAAATTAATAAATTGTGGAATAGTCATGCAATAAAATACTACATAACAGTAATAATTAATGAACCATTGCTATGTACAATAATGTAAGTGAATCTTACTATACAAAGGAAGCCAAATGCTGCAGAGTACATACTTACTAATTCCATTAAAATAAAGTTCAAATGTAGGCCAAAAGTTATCTATGATAATACTGGTAGTGAGAGTGGCTTCCTTTGAGGTAGACAATGGGCAGGGATTGGATGGGAGCTGAAAGGGCCTCTGAGGTGCTGGTAAGGTTCTACTGCCTGATCTGTGGTGGATACATGAGTGTGTTCACTCTATGATTTGTGTTCTCAATAAAAAGTTCACCTAAAAAAATGAAATATGTGTATAGCTTTGGAGTTAGAAAACCCCAGGGTAAAAGCCCAGCTCTCCCACACTTCTGAGCTGTGTGGCTTTG